TTAAAACTAGTAGTAAAAAAAACAGTTCAATCCAAAATTATTGTTCAGTGTAAAACATGTTGAAGATTAGCAGATAGGCTGTCGATTCATTAAATGATAAGCCGTTTCCTCTAAAAAGCTGTTTATTCAGTGTAGTGAAGCCTCTTCTACATTGACATCCTTTCAAAGAAACGGCGTCTGGTCTCCGTTCCCACATACTGCCAAAGCGGAAGCGTTAGCATTAGCCGTTATGCTTTTTAGGCTAAAGGTTGCAGGCTTGCCTTCTAGTGGCTTTGGTTTACACTCAGGAGAAAGCGCACGCATGCTGAACATAAACAATGCTGATTACGTTGATTACGTTCTGGGAAAAGCGCGCGCATGCTTCGTGTTACTCTCCAAAATGGCAGAAGACGTTAACTCAGGGAGAAGACTTGTTAAATAAATTGTTATTTTGTTTTCTTTGCGCACAAAAGTATTGTCGTAGATTTGCAAAATTGAAGTTGAATCACTGATGTCGCATTTTACTGATGTCCTTACTACATTTCATGGGTCTGGGAACATTTCAGTTGCGTTGCTGTCTACGGAGGATCAGAGATCTTCATTTGTGTTCCGAAGATGAACGAAGGTCTTACGGGTTTGGAACGACATGAGGGTGAGTAATTAATGACAGAATTTACATTTTGGGTGAACTAACCCTTTAATTCTGAAAGTTATGAACAAATGTTCTTCTAGTAACGTTATTAGAATGTTTGCTCAAAATGATCTGTTCTTAAAACATTCGCACAAAAATGTTATTTATACATCATTCATGGAACTTTTTTATTTTTTCTAAAACTTTTTGGACGCTCATCTAACATTTTTTTTTTAATGTTACTACTTGTTTCAGAACGTTCTGAGAACATTCAAAAGTAACATTCTCATGTTGTTTGCCAAATTATAAAATGGAATGTTTCCTTATTCATGCAGCCAAGAAAAAAAACATTTTTAAAAAGCTGGATGTGAACATTCAGAAATAGCACTTTCATAAATTAATGGGAACATGCGAACATATATTTATAAACTGGGATTGCATTAGATTACAAAAAATCGAACTAAGTATCATGTATTTTAAAGAAAGATACCAAAAGCACGCTTTCAGTCAAAAAGAAGTTTGTACCATTTTAAATGTTAAACCAATAGATAAAGGCCCGGTTTCACAAACAGGGCTTAGCTTAAACCAGGACTAGACCTTAGTTAAATTAAGATATTTAAGCAACTTTTACAAAAATGCCTTAGAAGATATTTTCAGGTGAGACAGCTCAAACATGCATTTTAGTCTGGGACTAGCTTAAAGGGTTAGTTCACCGCAAAATGAAAATTATGCTGTGTTTTACTCATCCCCGAAGCATCCTAGGTGTATATGACTTTCTTCTTTCAGACGAATCCAGTCGGAGTTATATTAAAAATTGTCTTTGATCTTAATATAACTCCGACTGGATTCGTCTGAAAGAAGAAAGTCATATACACCTAGGATGCTTCGGGGGTGAGTAAAACACAGCATAATTTTCATTTTGCGGTGAACTAACCCTTTAAGCCTTGTCTGTGAAACCGGGGGAAAGTGTTTAAAATAAAAGCCACTTTGTGTTTATGAAACATTATTGGAACATAGTTCAACTGACTTCACACACACCACCTAAAAATCACCAAAAACACAGCTGATTAAAAGCAAAAATGAAGCAAATCACACCTGTAAACAGTCTGAATCAGGAGTGAAATATGCACAGATCAAGTACCCTTTACAAGCCAAAAGTCACATTTTGATGTGAGAGGACAACAGAGGATAGACTTTTTCACTGAATGAAGTGTTATGGATTATGGACTTGTTTTTTTTTTTGACCAGAAGCAACATTTTAAGTTAAAAACATCTTAACGATGGATGTGTTTCTAACAAACACGCACCTTTTGTCTTCTCCAGATGTTAACTGATGGACTGGAGTGCTGTGGATTACTTGTGGATTATTGTGATGTTTTTATCAGCTGTTTGGACATACAGCCGTAATGGAATTCCTCATAAAAAACAATAAAGACAGCACGGCTGTGTAAAGAAGCACAAGACTGTACAAACAGGGTCAGGAGCTGGGCGGTGCTGTGAAGAAGCTGCCGTGGCTTTGTTTGTGTTTGTGTATTCAGTTTCACATCTGTGTTTCACACCTTGCCAATGCATGCTTCCTCAGTAACACACACTAGCCTTCATTAGGATGCATTCCCTTCAAATAATAACACATTCTTTTCAAACAACTCAGCATCGACTTCAGTAACACGCTCGGTAATTCTCTTTCACAAATACACACAAACACACACCTTTCACAGTAATTCGCTCTTTTTACATGCTACCATGTGATAGGGAAGAAAACGGAGATGGAAACTGATCCTGCATAATGTGTGTGTGTGTGTGTGTTTTACCATGCGTTATGCATGATATTTGTTACATTTTACGTCCACTATTGTCCGGAAATTAGAGTCAAGTCACATTTATCTATAAAGTGCTTTATACAATGCAGTTGTAATTGTTTCAGTGCAGCTTCACAGTATTAAACAGAAAAATAACAGTGTTAATGTTGCAAAATAAATCAGTTATTAAATGACCATTAAATGCTGTATGACACTGTAAAGCAACATACATTGTAAAAAAAAAAAATACATGTTGTAAATAAACTTGATCTGATTACATTCCATTACATTTACAAGAAAAAAAATTTCATGCATAATTCATTGTTGCTTGCCAATTCTTTGTCATTATTTGTTAATTTTAACAAGGAATTTTTTTGAGTGGAAATTGTTTTAACAGAATTTTTCATCATTCAGCTCAATTTAGTTCAATGCTGATTCATCTCAGTTCAGTTATAGTATCAATATTGATAATAATATATAATAATATACAGTTGTGCTCATAAGTTTTCATAATGCAGAATGTGCAAAATGTTAATAATTGAAACAAAATAAGAGGGATCATGAAAATTGCATGTTATTTTTTATTTAGTACTGTCCTGAATAAGCTATCTCACATAACAGATGTTTAATGAACTGAATTTATAAAAAATTACCCCATTCATTATGAATTTTAAAACTCCGTGTCATTTCCTGATGATCCATGACTGTTTTGATATTTTGTGATAGTTGTTCATGAGTCCCTTGTTGGTCCTGAGCAGTTCAACTGCCTGCTGTTCTTCAGAAAAATCCTCCAGCTCCTGCACATTCTTTGGTTTTCCAGCATCTTCTGCATATTTGAACCCTTTCCAACATTGACTGTATGATTTTGAGATCCATATTGTCACACTGAGGACAACTGAGGACTCATACACAACTATTACAAAAGGTGAAAACATTTACTGATGCTCAAGAAGGCAACACAATGCATTAAGAGCCTGTAAACTTTTGAACAGGATGATGATGTGTAAATTCTTCTCATTTTGTTTAACGATCATATTTTTTTCTTTTAGTACTGGACTTCAGAAGCTACATAAATACTTACATGTTTCCCAGAAGACAAAATAAGTACAATTTACCCTGATCATCCAATTTAAAAAAGTATACACCCCCGGCTCTTAATGTTGTCTTCTTGAGCATCAGTACATGTTTTCACCTTTTGTAATAGTTATGCATGAGTCCATCAATTGTCCTCAGTGTTAAAAGATGGATTTCAAAATCATACAGTCAATGTTGGAAAGGGTTCAAATATGCAGAAGATGCTGGAAACCCAAAGAATGTGCAGGAGCTGGGGGATTTTTCTGAAGAACAGCAGACAGTTGAACTGCTCAGGACCAACAAGGGACTCATGAACAACTATCACAAAATATAAAGACAGTCGTGGATCATCCAGGAAATGACACATAGTATTAAAATTCAAGGGTTTGAATTCAAACATTTGAATGGGGTCATTTTTATAAATTCAGTTATTATTTTGTCTTGTGGAGTATATGCAAACATCTGTTATGTGAAATAGCTTATTCAGATAGTACTAAATAAAAAAATAACATGCAATTTTCATGCTCCCTCTTATTTCGTTTCAATTATTAACATTATGCACATTCTGCAAGGGCTATCTATGTAAACGTATGAGCACAACTGTAAATTGCCTTTGCAGTGGAAGTCAAGATTGCACTGGGAAAAACTTTTTGTAACGTTCACATGATGCACATATGGATAACAGAAAGGGATTAGACAATTATTATTATTATTATTTTTAAAAGCTATTCTGTTAAAAACATGTAAAACATAACCACCTAATCAAGAAAATTGTCAAATAACAAACTATTTTGCTATTTTTTTGGAGAGCAAAAAATACAAGCTACACATTACTGTAATCAAACACTATTTTCTTGTTTGTTCTTGGTCAAGATGCTCAAACAAATGGTGAAATATTTTGAAAGCCACAGTGTGTCAACAAACGACTTTAAACTATAGTTTAAATCATAATATGCAGACTTACAGAATCTGCATCATAAACTGTGAAAAAAAATGAATAGCATAGCCATCTCTCTTCAGTAAATTCAGTGTGGCGCTATAGCTGCCAAAATAAAAGATTAAAATAACAAATGTACTGCTGCATTATGGGATACCCTTCACAGATCTGTGATAAGATGTTCTAGGTATTACTTGTTACATATTCTTTTGACTGGCTCTTACAGAAAGAGAATCCTCTTGTGTGAGATCTGACCTGGATCGGGTCGGAGGCCTGCCATGTTCCCATGCTTCCCTGTATTATAAATCATCTCCAGAGACGCATCAACTCTCTTCTGCTACAGTCCTGATGGAGCCGCGCCTGCTCTCACACTGCTGTGTCACACACACAAAGGCAGAAGCTTTCTCCTGTTTTCTCTCTACTATATTATTACTCATGATATTCTGGCCTAATGAGGTCGCAGAGAATGGAGAGAGAAAAAAATCCCAAGTCCCAGTGGTCAAATACACACACACACAAACACACTCGCACAGGTGCGGCTATATAAGTGCAGGTCGTCAGAACATCAGAGATTTTTTCACACACTTAACTTGGACTGAGGAAGAGCAAGATGCTGCTTCACTGGAACATGGTGGGTGATCAATATGTCTGTCAGTCTTACCTTATTGCTTTAATTGATAAAAAGGACAGTTATTCACTATACAAAAAAAGCTAAATAGAATTAAATATTTAGTGTTGTAGTTTTTTTCCCATTATACAGCATTTTCTATATTATTCGTTAATTTATAGCAAAACAGGTGTATTTATCTGTGGTGTTTGCCAGGTCAAATGTGCTCAAACTTAAATCACAAAAATAATAAATAAATACTTTGAAACAATTTTCACTTGGAAACTGCTGCTAAGTTTCACAAATATTTACAGTTGATCAAACATGACATTTTAAAGTAAAAATCTTAAAAAGCATTCCCTTGTAAAACGTACTCCGATAATCTTTTGTTTAAAACAACAATGCCGCTACAGCAACCAGTCAGGAACATGCTATCCAGAGCAACCAATAAAATGAAACATTCTTGACTCTTCTTGATGTGAGACAGTAACATAATATTTGAAAGGTGCTCTGTAATTAGATTTAACTCTATGATTTTGTTTACAGGACATGAGGGGTATCGTGGGGGTGTTGGTGTATTTGTCTTTCGGACAGTGTGCTTTACTTCCTGAACTCCGTGCAACAGAGTTTGGGTTAATGCCCCCTGAGAACTTTACGCAAGGACAAACGGGATTTGCGGAGCCTGATTTATCCTATTGTCAGATGCTTCTGGAAGCTCCGGTTCCACCCACAGCAGACCAGGTACCCTGGTTCTGCATCTGCTCCACTTGTTCCGGAAACCGAGGCCAGAAAGGAGACAGAGGCGACCGCGGACTGCCAGGTACAAACTCCACAGCATATTCTCACACATACTCTGTTTATTATCATCAAAGGTTTTACTAACTGCATCTGTTACTCACAGGAGTTCCTGGTAGTCCAGGTCCAAGAGGCCTCACTGGGCTTCCCGGCCGTCCCGGATTCACAGGACGTCCCGGCATAAAGGGTGAGACTCAACAACAAGTCTTGTATGATGCATTTTACTTCAGTATGAATGTGTGCGTATCAGTGTTGGGGAAGCTAGTTTGTCAGTAACAGGCAGGTGTGTTGAAGCAGGGTTGGAACTGAAGAATGCAGGAAGGTAGCTCTCCAAAAGCAGGGTTGGAGACCCCTGGCCTTAGACCCTAAACTCTTAGTCTACACCCTGAAATCTACAATTGTAACCCAAACTCTTAGCTTACTCCCAACCTTCTAAACCTAAACTTTACCTATTCCCTAGACCCATACCCAGCATTCCAGACCTTTAACCAAACTTCTAACTACACCCAAGACCTACACCCAACATTCTAAACCTAAACATTAATTGACTTGCTAAACCTGCACCCTAATGTGTTAACCTACACCCAGCATTCTAAACCTTCACCCAAAATTTTTGGATGAACTATCCCTTTAAGTAGATCATAGAGACCATGGTCAATTAGCTACTCTCCGAAACTGGTGTTCATTTAAATCAATGGAGTTAAATCTGGTAATAATGTAATTCACACACCCACAGGTGAGAAAGGTGACACCGGAGATAAGGGTGACATTGGTCATCTTGGAGTTTCAGGGCCAACGGGAGACAGGGGATTTAAAGGTCAGTGAATCTTCATTAATCTATCACCATTTACATACACACAATGCTTATCATGGGCCTTGCTGACCATGTTATTATATATGTGCTTCCCAGGTGAGAAGGGTGACCGTGGTCTTGATGGTCCTACGGGAGAACAGGGTCCAAATGGAGAAGATGGTCAGTGCCCGGAAACCTGTGAGCCCATACCAGGGCCGGCAGGTGAGCCAGGTCTTCCCGGCCCTGCAGGTGCACGGGGGTTACCTGGGCTGAATGGAGACCCTGGTCCCAAAGGGATGAAGGGTGATCCGGGTGTGGTGGGGGAGTCTGGCGTTCCAGGTGTACCAGGGGAGAAGGGTGACCAAGGTCCACAGGGCCTGTGCAATTGTCAGGATGGGGCTCCAGGAGCCCAGGGTCAAACAGGTGAAAATGGTGAGAAGGGAGACCAGGGTCCGACAGGGCTGACAGGTCAAACTGGAGCCACAGGACCTAAAGGTGATCAGGGAGAGATGGGAATGACTGGTATGCCCGGACCTTGTTCACCCACCGTGCAATCTGCTTTCTCTGCTGCTTTACTCACTTCCTATCCTACACCGAGCCGGCCAGTGCCTTTCAAACGTGTCATCTACAACTTAAACCTGCACTACGAACCTAATAACGGCGTCTACACCGCCCCGGTTAACGGAACCTACGTGTTTAGCTACCATCTGCAAGTGTCCAACCGTATGCTAAAGGTCGGACTCTTCCACAACTTCGAGGCCATGGTGAGGACAACTACGTTGGTGGAAATGAACACTGCCTCTCAGCAGGTGGTGATGAGTCTGAACCAGGGTGACTGGGTGTGGGTGCAGGTGAAAGACATCGCCAGTAACGGCATGTTCACCGGCAGCGAGGCCAGCAGCACATTCAGCGGGTTTTTGTTGTACCCAGACAGATGTGATGACATGTTTGGAAGAGATTTCAATGGAAACGCTGCTAACAATGGAACTGATCCAGGGTTCCCTAGCTATAATATTCCCTGGGAACATTCGTAAAGACCCATATGTATACCTTACCCACTTATCCTACACCTTAAACCCTTAACCAACCCCTACATTCTAAACCACCACCTACAGCCCAGACAAGGGGCAGCCAATCACACTCGTGGAGGGCTACCATCCTGCAGATTTTAGCTCCAACCCTATTCAAACACAACAGCTAATCAAGGTGCTCAGGATTACGCCAAAGTAACAGGCAGGTGTGTTGAAGCAGGATTAGAACTGAAGAATGCAGGAAGGTAGCTCTCCAAAAGAAGGGTTGGAGACCCCTGGCCTTAGACCCTAAACACTTAATCTACACCCTGAATTCAAAACCTAAATTTTACCTATTCCCTAGACTAATACCCAACATTCTAAACCTCCAACCAAAACTTTTATCTACACCCTAGACTTACATCCAACATTCTATACCTAAACTCTACTCTAGGTCTACTCCCTAGACCTGCAACCTAAACTGTTAACCTACACTCAGCATTCTAAACCTTCACCCAAAGTTTTAACTGCACCTTAGACGTACTCCCAACATTCTAAACCTAAACAATAATTGACTTCATAGACCTGCACCCTAATCTGTTAACCTACACTCAGCATTCTAAACCTTCACCCAAACTTTTTACTAAGCCCTAGGCCTACACACAACATTCTAAATATACATTTTTATCAACTCCCTAAACTGTTAGCCTACACCCAAAATTCTAAACCTTAACCCAAACATTTAATTACACCCTAGACCTACACACAACTTTCTAAACCTAAACTTTTATCAACTCCCTAGACCTGCACCCAACATTCTAAACTTTTACCCAAACTTCTAACTACACCCTGCACCCCAAACTCTTAACCAACCTCTAAAATGATCCACCTCTCAACCTCAACCCCAAAACCTCTATTGTTTCAATAGTATCTCAGATTACATGTAGATTCTATTTTAAGACAACTTTATGTAGTTTGTATGTAGAAGCAAACCTTCGGCTGAAAGCAGAGCCTTCTCTTCCTCATGTTTGGAATGAATTAGTTCTTCAGGTGGATATGTGCGGTGTTTATTTACAGTGCATGTCCCGTAACTTGATTAGTTGTATTATGACCCAACAATACACAGCGAGGTGGATCAGTCGGGAGGTTGCTCCCTTGGCAGACATGTTTACAGCCGGATGTTTGTTTGAAAAATGAGCAGGAAGGATCAGTCGGGAGGTTGCTCCCTTGACAGATATGTTTTCAGCCGGATGTTTGTAAAGAATGAAAACTGAGCAGGAACGCACCAATCAGCTGTTAAATCATCCTTCCAGCTATTCAGTGGACACACACTGTGAATAAGAGTGAAAATGAGAATGAGAACAGGAAAACTGGGTGGGCGTCTCAGGATAGGTGAGCAGAGAGAAGTATTTGAGAGGTACAAGAAAGAGAGGTGTTGTCTTACAAAATTGAAGTGTTAAACACCTGTTTGCGAGAGAAAGAGAGTCTCTTTACTTTAGGCTTATATCTTTTGAGTATGGATTATTCAGACACAATATTATGTTGGGAAAACTCTCATGGTGTTGCCTAGAGGGGGCCCACCCAAAAAAATCCTGGATTTTAGCTGTGACCATGTAACAATATGACACAACACAACATGTTCATGCTCATGTTCTGTGTATTGATTACCTTTATATTGCCAATAAATTGTAAACTACTAATCCGACTCCTTGTTTTTGACTGTTTTTTCACTTAGACTAGTCAAACCATCTGAACAAATCAGATCAGACCATGATGCACATTAAGCGGCAAAAGCCATAGGAAGTGTCAATGACCAATGTAGCCATTTTTAATTTTCAAATGCAACAGCACTGTTCCAAAACCTAGTGAGCTGTCTTGCTTCTAGTGTCTACTTAGGCAGCATCCTAACTGAACACCTTTTAAGTGACTAATTTAGAGTACTCCTGTGAGCAACTCAGTGTTGTATTTTATAAAATAAAATAAAGTATGAAAAATACTTAACTACCCGACAAAATTTTTTGAAGTTTTGAATTTTTTAAATATACTAAAATATATAAAAATGAAAACCAATTCAAAACATTAATTAAATCTATAGTACACTAGTATATAAACAACATTACAATACTCAAATAAGCATTCAAATACATTTATTATTGTTAAAGGAACAAGAAATTAATAAATGTAAACAGGTTTGAGTTGATCTCTGGATTGCTGTCATAAGACATAGCACACTAAATTCGTATGTTAACTGTAGTTTGCCGAGTAGGGTGGTGTTCCACCAGGTCATGAGAATCTTTGGTTAATTAAACTAATTTTACAAGACTTTACCACGTTATATGTTACAGGGCTTTGAAACTGCAGTTTTGCAATGAAGGATTCATTAAAATGATCAGTGTTTTGGTGCAGAGATCATGTAAACCCAGATGTTTTGCCGTCACAAAGTGTTTTATTTGATTTCAAAGCATTTACAGAGCAAATAACAACAGAATTTGCCTCTAATTTTCTATGCAACACATCCATTTGTGATAAATGTACTATATATCAGTTTATCCTTACTGAAATCTCTAGAGTTATAATTTCAGTATTCGAAGAAGCAGCCTTTTAAACTAAGTTCACATTTGGAATAATGATTTCATACATTTTTTAGGTTCTTATGAGGGTTTATCAGGTTTACTGCAATATACATAATTATTTGCAGTGAATATATGGAGACTGCAGCATAAATGCTGATTTGGCCTATTGTTTTTTCTCACCTGGCTTAGAAGTTCCTGCATTAGTGCACATCACAACATCTACACAATCTCAACAAGCATCCATAAATGCTTATGAATCTTTATACGCGCGCGAGTCTGTCTGCGCAAAGCACTCTTCATGTAGAAGGCTCTCAAGGCTCAGCCGGAGATTCATCATCGTCGCCGATGACTCCTTTCAGATAGGAGCGTTTAAACTCCTCGAACACCAGGTCAGTTGTGTCTTCACTAAACACACAAAGAGACAGACAAGAAACTCAATCAACACCGATAGAATCGCATATGTGAAGATGAAGAGGAACAGTAAAGCAGAAAACAGGAACAAAGGTGTTTTATGTCAACGACACACACCCCTGTTCTGATGTCAGAATACAGTTTCTATTGAACACTAACAACAGATTTACTGAAAGAACGACGCTAAACTGGGGCTCCACACAAGAGACCGATCGCATTTAGATGGGACACCGATATCAACGATCCTCGCGCTCTCAACTTTCCCTTCCCAGAGCTAACGCGGATCGTTTATCGTCTCAAGAGTGTGTGCATTGTTGCAGATGAAAGACAGGAAAGTGAACGCCACACATTGTGCACCAAACACGTGGAATCAGAGGCACGAGGACTCTATATGGAGGCTATTATATAACAGCACATATAGCATAAGATCACATGAACTGAATATACACCCAGATAATGGAAAATTATAACTGTGGCTTACCTCTCTTTAGGACGAGGAGAACAGGGAGAAGAAAAAGCAGATAACATTCAGTTATTATCAGATCAAGTCGAGTCACATTTATTTCTATAGTGCTTTATACAATACTGATTGCTTCAAAGCAGGAAAATAACAGTGTTATAAAAAACAGTGTTATATATTATAAAATTCATAATTTACATTTCAGCTCTAAAGCAGCTCTATAGAAGACATTTGTGTCATTATGTAGTTTAATGTTGTTTGAATTCAGTTCAATAACAGTTTTGAAAGGTTGGTGTCATTATCCATCTAAATTCAGTTTCATTTTTGTTCTCATCCGAGAGTGTCAGTGCATATAAAATCGTTAATTTTATTGAATATTAATTGTCTTTTAAATCCCATTCAAATTCACAATTACATGACCTCAGGAGATAATTGAGTCATTAGTTTGTAAAAACAAAAATCATGCAGTAATGCACTTGTCAGGGTTATCGTTAACTAAAAATAAAACCATAAAAAACATTCGTACTTGAATTAAAATAAACCTTAACTGAAATACAATGAAATATTAAGAAAAAAAGAAACTTAAATGCATTTTATTTCAGCTAGTTGCAAAGGCAGCTTCTCACATTTTCACTCAGTTTAACTCGATGCACTAAAATAACCAAAACTGAAATAAAAATGAATAAAAAGTACATAAACATTTATATAAAAAAAAAAACTCAAAATTGCAAAAAAATTACTAAAACTTTAAAATTAAAATTAAAACAGAAAATATAAATAGAAAATCTAATTAAAATACTAATGAAAGCTATAGTAATAGCTTAGTGATACTAAAATAACACTGGCACTTGATATGGCACTTAAATACATTTTTCTGAGTTTACAACTAGGTGCTAGGTGGATGAACATCTGGTTATTAATTACTGTTAATGCAGGTTATGTGAGTGGAATTTGCTCCATGTACTGTAGTGCTATGTATGTGCATTTAATTGAATTTATTTTAGAAACCGAGGTATGATTAAAACTCATGTTCTGTGCTGAAAGAGAACAGCTGTAAAATCAGGTTTGACAATGTGATCAGCTCACCTGGATCAGGTTTGGGATGCATGAGTTTGAAGGGAACCTCCACAGCAACCTCACTGAAACACATACGATCACATCTTACAACCGTACACACTCACAATGTCTAGACAACTTCTGCTGGATTCAACACTCACCTGGAACCAACGATGCTGTAAGAGAGCAGAAATAAAGTCATTAGCATCTTCCCTAACAACCAGTTATTAGTTTGGTTAGCATAAACTCAAAACAGCTCATGCTCACTCACCCGGCTGCATTACACTTCACCACCACCCTATAAGCCACCAACATTCCCAGAATCTCCTTCAGCACTTCATCCTTTACACTGCAGAGAATATTAAAGAAATAGTTAAATAAAAAATTGAAAATGAAAATTAGGCCATTCAAGATGTAGATGAGTTTGTTTCTTCATCAGATTTGGAGAAATGTAGCATTGCATCACTTGCTCAGCAATGGATGTTCATCAGTGAATGGGTGCCGTCAGAATGAGAGTCCAAACAGCTGATAAAAACATCACAATAA